CGTCGAGCAGGGAGGCGGTGTTCTACGGAGGCCCATTCGAGAGTGTGCTGTTGGTGTCCGGGAGCGTCGCCGAGTTCTAGGGTTGGTGCAAAGCGACGAGGGGGAGAATGTCCGGCGACGGAAAACTTATCTTCGAGTAACGTGTGTATTAATATAGGGACAATGTCATTTTAGCGTATTATGAAATAATTGTTGTAAATATGAAATCTCATTCTTATTAGATTATTATGTTTAAAATATAGTTTCTAATTAGTGTAATAAGGTTAGTTTAGAGTGATTTTTTGCTTCTTTGATCATATCAGACTATTTACATTAATTTGAAAGAATAGGTACGTAAGTAAAATGTTAGCATATATTACGTAACTTGAAAATGAGATTTTTTGTTTTCTGCAATAGCATATAGTTTATGTTTTAATAATAGATTTTATTATAAAACTTATAAAAACAAGAATTAGGTCGATAGGGGACTATCCGTTCAAAAGCTATAAGGGAAAATGTTTAGTAATAAATGTAGCACGCTAGAAATTTTAGATATTTTTGTTTAAGACTTTTTTAGAAATAATTTTATATATTGATATTATGTTTAATATGTATACTAGTATTAAGGCATGTAATAAATAAATATTTGTAAGTGTTTACTTGAAAACATAAATAAAAGGACATCTCAAGGTGTCGGTTAGAGGAAATTTATTCGAAAAATGAGCTCAAAGTACGCGGATCTCTGTAGGTATTACGGGCCAATAGAAAAGGCGAGCCATTTTTCGATTCGAGTCAGTCGCAAGACAGCCCCGAAGAGGCAACAACTAAAAGGAAAAGGAAGAACCGAAACAAGAGAGAAAAAAAAAGGACAAATTGTGTTTTTATTTCATCGCCTCTAAGTATAGCTCCTGTCACCCGAAGAAACCTTAGTGGATCGGGACCCAAGCTACGCATTCAGGGGTGCGTGGTGCGTCATTACCAGCGAACGGCCCTACTGCCGTGTACGCCAAGAACGTCTGGGAGATTGTCCCAGGTCGACCTCCGGGTACTAGACATACCCTGGTTCTGGTCGTCCGAAACAATTGCATTTTAAAGAGAGATAGATCTCTCCCGTGCCCATGATTGCTGTAAAGCATTCGAAACGCCGGGAACCAGATCAAAATAAATCCGCGAAAAAATCCGAAAAGATAGTTTTATTTAGTATATTATTATTTATAATGTATATAAATAATGAGCAAATACATTTTCTAAGAACATCCTACACAATTACTACGATACGATGACTTAACCGCCAAATCAGCCGGTCCACTGGTGCCAAAATCTATTCCTAGTTTTCATACATTGATACATCGATAACAAATATTTGTGACGTCAGAAAAAACAAAAATAACGTGATAACATAAGTAACATTCCAGTTAATATTAACTTTCTAAATTTCAAAAAGTATCTATACGTAATTAATCCAGCTCTAGGAAGCAATTTGTTTCCTTTAAAGTATACTATTACTAAACCATATTACCGTAGTATTTATATAAAATAACTGAAATATAAAAATAGCATTTTTTCAGAAAAGATATCTAAAAAGATAAAGCAAAATAATATCTAAATACAAAATTTGATCCAAATCATTAGAGCTGTTTCCGTGATACACGTAATAAAATATATGTAAGTATATACAATTTATAATATAATATATTTCCATACCTATCTGTATACATATATCTTAATAAGCTCATTACTATTCATAGATAATAAATAAAATAACAAAGTTATTAATGATTGAAAAATTGAAACAAGAAAAATACTATTGAAAAAACTACAATTTAGTACAAAAAGAACAGAAAAACTGACACGCGACTTGAATTTTATATTGATATGTCAAATATCAAGGTTGATCAAATAACAGTCTATTTGAGCATTGCTTACATTTTATACTGAGTTTTTGTACTTAATACCTTATTATCTAATACGGAAATAAATGCACTCGCATAATTTGAATAGGTACATTTGAATAATTTATGTATTATTCGGGACCAATTTTAGTCGATATTTATACATACATACATACCTTATTATAATTTGTATATATCTAAATAATATTATAATATTATACGCGACAGAAGTTCTCTTATATCAAAAGCTAATCTTAAAGTTTATACAAAAATCTTATAGAGTCTTTCCAAACTTCCTACACTTTTCCATTTTTTTTTCTCTATAAACGTTATTAACATATAAGGAACTATTTTATTTAACAAAAATTGTCTTATCGGTACATTCGTCATCAATGGATGCACTTTCCAACGTAGAGTATTCTTCTTTTTCGAAGCTATTCAATGAAAAATAATTGAAAATCGATTCACAACCGACGAAGACATCTCGAGACATACGAAAAAAAAAACAACATAATCGATTTTTGGAAATCGGTCATATTGTAAAATCGATTGCTGCTTTGAACGTTAGAAAGCCAAACCGAAAACCGTTTTCGTATATACAAAGCTTAACGCGGCTTAATTTACATGTGCTTCTGATCTAAACAAAAGAATAGCTAGCGGAAGGCGCCTAAAGTTTTTGCCAAACCTAGGTGTTAGACAGACGGAAGCTCATATACGGCATGGCTAACTGAAAATATGAATACAATATGCCTAATAATAATTTAATCATGCGACAGCTTAGAATTTTAACACCTCATTACAAGCTATTAGAATCTAAACGCACATTATTAATAATAATGGTGTATTGAAAACGAAATATAATATGTTAATGTTAAAATTCAAATCGACGACATGTTTGGCTCAGTTTGTTAGTGATCCTACTTGCTATGCCAGCGGTCGCGGGTTCGAGTTTGATAAGGCAGTTATTAACTTTTCTTTATATAATAGTGGCTTAGCATCACTACTTCATGTAGAAAATCATATATCGTAATCGTATCTTATAAATTGAAATTTATTTTTATATTAACAATAAAAGATTTTTTTGTACAAAAGGCTAAGGGCATACATACATACATAGAAACAGCTCGTACTAAATTAAAAAAAATGGGATTTAAAACACAAGGTTTTATGACTCCAATACAAAATTTTAATAAATAAATTTTATGTTATTTGAAAATAAATCTTTGAATAAATGTACACTAAATGATTGTATCAAGGTGAGGCTTTATTTATCTGCATCGCAAACAGAATGACAATTGCATTGCAGGATTTTCGATATCGGTAATTAATAATTATCCAACTTGTTTCCTTAGATAATTCGAAATTATATTAAGAGATATTAGAAAATACCAAATATTCGCGTAAATCTAAGAAATTATTATTCAACTAGCACTGCCCGCGGCTTCGCCCGCGTTCAGATAACCAAAAACCAAATTATTAGGTTTTACATATTAGTATACTATTACAATTGCAGTTTTTGTATTTTTTCTCAAATGAGATAATTTTCCGCGGTAAAAAATATCCTATATGTTGACCCGGATAACCAGCTATCATCATATCAAATTTCATAAAAATCCCTCCAGTGGTTTTTATGTGATGCGGTAAGAGACTGACAGACAGACAAAAATTCTAAAAACTATAGATTCGGCTTCGGTATCGATAATAATGTTTATTTCAATAAAGATTTTCCAAAAAATATTTAATTATATGTGTAGATTAGGTACAATTATTGCATTATACTTTCCTAGATTTCCGGGAATATTGTATATTTTAAATAAAACTATCTTTTCGGAATTTTTTCGTTGATTTATTTTCATTATTGGTCCCCGATGTTTTGAATGCTTAACAGCGATATGGTCACGGGAGAGACTGGTTACAGTCTAATAGTAAAAGATAGTTTTATTTAAAATACTTATAATTGAATATATAACATTTTCTGTTTTTACTTTTTTTATTTTAATGTGTCGGTAAAAAATATCAATATAATAATATCACAATAAATTATTACATTAAAACAACGAATCTGTAATTTACAAGATTCGACCTTTTTTTTTGTTTACGCTGGGGAAACCCATCATGGGGACCCTGCCGGCCGTCATAACGGGCAAGGTTTGCAAGATTCGACCTTAGTCACCTTCTTATTCGTATTAGACTTTATCAAATATTGTAGGTAAATATCATTTAACAAACACAAAGCTGGGTTGAATCGAACTCAGCAAACACGTTGCAATATGATGATGCGTTGAAGAACTTTTCGAATTTACATAATAATGTAATTTATTTAGCAGTCGGTTTGAACAAGAAAATCATACGAAAAATCACAGCTGCGAAACTAGTTATTCCAGATTGTCTGCAATAAGAAATATAATAAATGTTTTATTAAACTAATTATGTAACAAGTCATGAATATTAGATGTTCAAAATTAGAAAAAAAACTGACTGAGAGTTATACATACATACATACATACTATATTCTGTCACATTTCTGCGCCGCTAAGTATTCACTGATATAAAAATAGATAAATCATTCAATTTTTATTAACCCCCGACGCAAAGAGAGGTGTGTTATAAGTTTGACGTCGATGTCTGTCTGTCTGTCTCTCTGTGTGTGTATCTGTCTGTGGCATCGTAGCTCTCAAACGTATGGACCGATTTCGATGCGGTTTTTTTCATTTGAAAGCCAGTTTCTTTGCGGTGGTTCTTAGTTATGCTTAGTTAATATCAGTGTAAGAGTATCAGCTCTTTTCCAAAATGATGTAAGGCATTTTGCCGTATGATTATTCGATTAAGTGCTTCACGCGTGCCAGTGTAATTGTTAAATGACAATTAATTTGCGAAGGGGTTTTTTTTTAATTTTTAATTTATTGTTACGTACATAATATTATGTAGAGTGATCCATTATCGATTTCGAGCTCATTTTATTAAATATGTATATTGGATAATTTATATTTTATATTTATGTTCACGACTGCAAAGAAAGCTATTATAAGGGTGAAATGTTAGTTTTAAGGTTGTTTTTAAGTCCATTTATGTTCAAAATTGGAAATAGTTTTACAACTATTTTAATTGCATTCAATATTTCTTGTGTAGGTTTCGACACCAGTCAACGTGCCAGTGGGATGTTGGGCTCTGCGCGTCGTCACCAGACTAAAGAGCTACCAAGCGCGGGAAGTGTATGATTATGATCAAGATTTGTTCATCCTGTTCAACCCTTGGAATCCAGGTGAGGGCTAAAAACGGAATTTTAATTTCAAAATACTTTTTATACAATCTATTATGCCAAATTCCATTGTATTTAAGAACCTGTATTCTCCTGTTACGAAGGAATCTCCAAAATTTTAGTTAAACCCATAATGCTATCTTTTTACTAAATATTGTATATACTTGTGAGATTCATTTAGCAGTTTAACAGAAACCAATAAAATATAACAAACTGTTAAATGACATAGTTAAAATTTAGGATTTAGGAAAATTAAATAAAAGTAAGTAAAAAATTGTGCAAGAAATATAAAAAAGTGATTAATACCTTTTACGTAATTAATTTATTAGACTACACAAAATGTAACTAGGTACATATTATACACATTTTTATATGAGCTTATGGGTTCTTCTAGTCTTTGATGTTTTTACTCACAAATAAAATATTATAAAATGAACTTCTAAACAACGAATTTTCTATAAAACTAGATGATCAAACATATATGGAGGACGCCGACCTGTTACAAGAGTACGTTTTGAACGATGTGGGCAAGGTATGGGTTGGTCCCATCAAGACTACGCGAGGTAAGCCGTGGTTCTACGGACAGTTTGACGCAGTTGTACTCCCAGCTTGCATGTTTATGCTGGACCGAGCTGAAATGCCTTTCAATCAGTAAGTTGATTTATATATAGAATATACTAGTAACTCCACAGTAATGAAACAAAAACGCAGTGTTAGCCCATTGGTATCATGCTCGCTTGGGAAACCAAGTGAAGCCGGTTCAAATTCTGGGTTTCACACCTCTGTTATTTTTATGTACGAATCATTTTTGATATGATTACCACTTGTTTAACGGTGAAGGAAAACGTGAAGAAATCTGCATGTTTTCTAAACCTGAGAGAACCTAGCAAGTTTTTGAAAGACATGTGAAGTCCATTAACCCGCACTTGGCCAACGTGGTGGACTATGGTCTGATCCCCCTCTTATTGAAGGAAGGCCTGTGCCCAGTAGTAGGTCGTTAAAAGGCGCTGAATACAATGAAACAAAATATTTAAGTGACCCATACAAATTATATTGTTTGAAATAGTTTAATCATAATTAAATAGCTTAATAGCTCAATGATCCCAAAGCAATAATATATTTCTGTCAGAAATATAATGTTCTTAGTTTAACTCATAGAAGCTTTTCAACAAATTTTTTCTGCATGTACAGTCGTAGTGATCCAGTGAAAGTGGCAAGAGTGATCTCACGCATCGTCAACTCAAACGACGATGCTGGAGTGCTCGTTGGGAGATGGGATGGAAACTATGAAGATGGAACTGCCCCATCAGAATGGACCGGTTCCGTGGACATCCTCGCTCAGTATTTGGAGACCCAACAAGAGGTACCTTACGGACAGTGCTGGGTGTTCGCTGGCGTAGTTACTACAGGTGAGGAGTTATTACTAAAGCGTACCTTTATAAATGCACATGTTAATGACCGCTTTGATTATTGTACTATATATGCTAGATGTATATAGTTGGTGGTGTTTTATCCCAGTGCCTCAGAGAGCACGTATCGCGTCGATCCTGCGCCTTAACTCTCACTGGACGTGTCGAAGTATCGTCCCATCGGATTTTATGAGGAAAAGGAATAGAGATTACAATTGTGTCTGTACATACACTGGTGCACTCTAATACCTCTTGAGCATCTGGCTAGTCTCAGTGAAATTTCCTTCCGTGGCCGAAATCGGTTTTGAGGACATTATTATAGCCAGCAGATTTTTGCAGGGAAATTACTTTTTGAGGCCTCATTTAAGCAAAGCTCGTAGCTGAGATACATTATCTCGTACGTTATTGAGTAATTTATGTTTAGAGCAATTTTTGGGACTTATAAAAGTTTAATAAGACTAAAACCATGGAATGGAAGTAACAGTTCATCCTATATTATTACATTTTTGTGTTTTTTTAATATAACACTTTTTTTCCTTAGTACAAGGAGAACTCAGCTAATATTTTTGGACTCTCTTTGGTTGTCCATTAAAATTGAATGTATTTAATAGAAGCTACAAAAACAAGTAGTATAATATATAGTTAGAATTCATTATCTAATAAACATGCGCCATATCCGTGTCAAACCAAAAGGACACCTTGTTAGATGCGATGCACTTCACATACAAAATATTTATCCTCAAAGATGCAATCATAACAGGACGCATGTTGATATTCCGCGGTATGAACGTTTTTATGTGCAATTGTTACGTGTCGATTTGAGATTATTTCTCTGTGGTTTACTATATCTCTATACTTTATACTTCATATATGAGGTACATTCGTAATAAACTGCGTACTGCTTTTATAAAAATATTCTAACTTACTATTTGTTCAACAGTTTGCCGCGCTTTGGGTATCCCATCTCGTGTTGTATCAAACTTGGTATCAGCTCATGATGCAAACTCCTCACTCACTGTGGACAAGTACTATACTGAAACCATGGAAGAACTGGACTTCGACCCTAACAACCCTCAGGGAGCAGACTCTATCTGGAACTACCATGTGTGGAATGACGTATGGATGACAAGACCTGACCTTCCACCAGGTATGGAGGAAAATTTTGGAATATTTTATTCTGATAAGCTTAAAGCTGCATCCGAAGAATTTAATACAATATAAATAAACTGAAGTTATCGTTTCTCTTCTGTACATTATCCTAAATAATTTTTATTACTTTTTATTTATTTATTTATTTATGTACCATAAAATATATATTATACAAAATAAAGTAACAACATGTTGACAAAGGATAACTAATCTCTTTAAGAGATTTCTTATCAATATCTATTATTTCATTTCAATATATTGATCACTTAATACGTTTTCGATTCCGTAATATTATTTTTATTTTATACATAAGTAATACAGAAATTTTATAAATATGTAAGTAAGTAAATATACATATTATGTACATAGGATTTTCTTTGGCTACTCTAGACTTTTTTAAACAATAACACTAATTATAACCTAACACGTTATTGTGACTGATGTTAATGTACTTATAATAATCGTTTTATCCCTGTTTTATTCAAAGGCTACGGCGGATGGCAAGCAATTGATGCAACACCCCAAGAAACGTCCTCTGGCCAATACCAATGTGGCCCAGCGCCACTAGAAGCTATCAAACAAGGTGTAGTAGGCCTGAACCACGACGTAGAGTTTATGCTGGCATCTGTTAATGCTGATCTGATGAGGTGGAGACGAGACCCTGAAAGTGAAACTGGATATTCCATGGTTGATACCAACAACTATCAGTAAGTATGATCACAAATCGTAGCAATAATATAGTATGAAGATGGTTGGATGTTTGAAGAATGCTTGTCATTGAAGAGATTTGGGCAAAAGTTAGCCCACAGATAGACGAAATATTAGATTAAAATTAACACCTTAGCTATATACTACTACATATATACACTATAGCGAGATGCCGGCGCTTGATCAAAGCAATAAGTAGCAATAGCAATCCGAAATTAGAAATTGTTATTTTTAGAAGATTTCGTAACCGAAGAATTCTACAAACCCTATATTAAGTTCATGCGTACTATTTTCGAAGAGTTACTAGATATTTAAAGGGATATTAGTGATTCTACTGGAGCTAGACAGTTTACTATATTACTAAATATTAAAAAATATTCACCTTTTAAGTCTTAAGTATAATTTATATAACTATACGTATTTAATTTGGTATGTATTAATTTTCTAACAGTATTGGACGCATGGTACTCACAAAGAAACCTTACGTGTTCGATCCTTTGGGAGATGAAGACAGACAAGATATAACTGGTGAATATAAGCATAGGGAGGGAACTGCTTCAGAGCGATTGGCTTTGATGAATGGCGTGAGATACTCTGAGAGGGCGAAGAGGTAAGAAAACAAATGATTCTAATTAAATATTCTAAAATGGACAAAAAAGGTAAATAATAAAGTAAGAGAAATCATCTATTTTATTAATGTTTTTTTACAGATATTACTCCGTCGCATCAAACCTTTCAAACGATGTATCGTTTAAACTTCGTGATATTGATTCTGTACCCATCGGCAAAGAGTTCAGGGTCATTGTTGACATCGACAACAATAATTCTACTGAGGTAAGCAAAGTTTTACATAATTATAATTAATTAATTAGCCAAGAGCATCAGGCAGTGGTCGTAATCGAGTGTATCGTAATTGTGATATTTTTATATGCGAATAATTTCCAACATGATTACCACTTGCCTTATCGTGAGGAAACCTGCACGTTTGAGAGGACTTAGCAAATTTCGAAAGACATGTGAAGTCTGCCAACCCGCACTTGGTTAATATAGCTTATATATCAGAGTATCACATTAATTCTAATATTATAAATGTGAAAGTATGTTTGTTTATTTGTTTGTTTGTCCTTCTTTCACGTCGAAACCGAGCGACGGATTGGAGACGATAGTTGGATAGCTGGAGAGCGACATAGGCTGCTTTTTATTGCGGGAGATTACCTACCTAATTTCCACGGGATAATCTATACATATAATAAAATTCTAAATGAGTAGAATCTGCACATTAAATATTTTTTTGAAATTCTTATTGAAATAGAAATTATTATCGATACAGAAGCCGAATCTATAGTTTTTAGAATATTTCTCTGTCTGTCTGTTACCACATCACGGAAAAACTACCGGAGGGATTTTGATGAAATTTGGTGTGATGATAGCTGGTTATCCGGGTCAACATATAGGATACTTTTTACCGCGGGAAAATGTCTCATTTCTGAGAAAAAATACAAAAACTGCAATGTGAGAGTATACTAATATGTAAAACCTAAGAATTTGGGTTTTGATCATCTGAACGCGGGCGGAGCCGCGGGCAATGCTAGTATGTTATATAATATATAGTCTATCTATTTTATACTACCGTTAAAACGTACCTAGGGACGAACCCGAGCGAAGCGAAGGCGAGATACTAGTATGCTATAATTTTTAAGCCGCGTTTTTGTGCGCGAGAAAACGGTAGTTAATAAATAAATGTTGTAATTAAGATATTTTTTCTTATTATTATGAATTAATTATTCAGGGACGTAACATCAAGGCTGCTTTGACGGTAACTAGCGTATTTTACAACGGTGTACGAGCCGAAGTTGTGAAGAAGATCGAAGGCAAGATCTTTGTTGGACCTCAGAAACGTGAGTAATAATTTAAGTATATCAATAATTATGATATTTATAATTGAATTTAGAAAAGGTTCATACTTTAGCTGCCTTTTTGTGTGTTTTTAATATATATCTTATGAAAGAGAAAGAATAATTTAACTTTAATATAATATTATTAAATGAGTTAGTTCCAATATTACTAAATGCGCGATTGAATCTAAATTCTATCCAATCTTTAATTTGTGGTTTTGTGTACCTACAGTTTAATTTGCATTTTGCATCTGAGTTTTTAAGGTTTCAAGTATATTCAATAAACCCATTCATTCACTCTGTAGGATAAATATTTAGTTTGTATTAAGTGACGTCGAAGATTGAGAAAAAATATCGATTTTGTTGATCGATTTCCATAAGAGAGGAAGTATTTAAACTCGTTTCGTAAGTTACGCGACGTCTTCGCACAAATATGAATCGATTTTAAAGATATTTTAAGCTCCATATATAAATTTAGATGAAAATTCATTATTCTGAATGATAAAACTATTAAGAAAAATTTACAAATTGCCTGAAAAAGTCTAAAAACAACACTTTTCGATACTCCAATACAAAGGATTCGTAATAATATTTAAAAGTCAATTTGAACTTTAATACCATACCATAAAGTTTAAGTGTCAGTGGAGAGGTTCCGGGAAGGCAAAACTTTGATGGCAATTGAGTGACGTTAGAATCGTATAAATATTAATGTCAATATTTGTTATATAAACACCCATGGACCCACTGGAGTACAAAAATTCGTGCTTATCACACAAATTAATGCTCCAGCGGGACTCGAACCCGCGACCGCTAGCGCAACAAGTAGAATCACTACAAACTAGGCAAAACGTGTCGCCAAATCAACATTTCCACTCACTTTCAGATGAACAAGTAAGCATTCTAGTCCAGGCAGATGACTACTTGCCCAAGCTGGTGGAGTATTGCAATATGAAAATATCCGCTATGGCCATCGTGGACGATACCAAACAGTCCTGGGCAGATGACGATGACTTCCAAGTCTTGAAACCCAATATTAGTATTAAGGTGAGACTATATAATAACGCACTTATATACGCTTTTGACAAATAATAAATGTATGTATATATTTATAAATAGGAATATTTATTGTTTTTAGATTTATGCGAATATTTGACATTTTAAGTAAAATTATTATATTTTCTGATTTTTCGCGGATTTATTTTGATTTTAACCATAACGATAGTTTTATTTAAAATAGCAATATACATATATTTTTTTAAATATATACGTACATAATATTGTTAAACGTAATCCGTTAAACTAGCCAAAGACAGGAGTGCAAAGCATGATGATCTCAACGAATCTTTATCATTTCCATTTTCATCTACAGATGATCTATCGCTTCATACTTACTCGTTAAGTGCCCTTGGAAGTCTCCTCTAGCCTTATCGAACATCACAGCTTCGATCCATTTAGGGCAACATATAGGTCTATCCTGGTCAAGATAAAACATAAATCAGGGATAATAAAATATGTGATATTTTCAAAAATAACTCAACTGAGTAAAAACGAACCATAAAAACTTTTTAACAAAAAAATAAAAACCGACTTTAAACAAAAGCACTTAAAAGTAAAAAATAACTGATTGGTAGTTTTCATTTACTATACATACCTAATCAAATATTTTCGACACCGATTTCGAAAATATTTGATTAAGTATGTATTTAATAGGTAGGCTTTAATTACTTAGCCGAAGCACACCGACTTCGAAAATATTTGATTAGGTATGTATAGTAAATGAAAACTACCAATCAGTTATTTTTTACTTTTAAGTGCTTTTGTTTGAAGTCGGTTTTTATTTTTTTGTTAAAAAGTTTTTATTTTTCCCTTTTTAGTGTAGACAGTAGTAGCAAAGTAAGGATTCTAACGTGTTAGGCTTGTCAAATCAAACAAAATAAGCCCAAACTCAAAGTATCTACTATTAGCCGTTGAAGAGTTCCACCTATCCACCTTCTGGCCTTGCCATCAGATCAGGTCAACAACACCGAACCACTGTACTATCAGCGGAAATAGAAATACTTGCAAAGTTTCCAGTCAATATGATATTAGAAGTAGGTTAAATTCATCATTAGTTGTTTTTCCATCCTTAGGGGTGGTATTTTTTTTTTGAAATTTAAATGGGACCAATCTGGAAGTATACCCTTTCAAACAAAGCAAAAATTGTCCAAATCGGTTAATAAATGACGGAGTTCTGAGGTAACAAACATAAAAAAAAAAAAAAAAAAAACATACAGTCGAATTGAGAACCTCCTCCTTTTTGAAGTCGGTTGAAAAAGATGGGAACAAGTTGATGAAGGAACATAGTATTATGCAATCGGGAACATACACACGATAGGCTAGAAAGAAAAAAAATGGCGCCTGAGAACCGCCATTTTAGTTTTTTGTAATATCCATAAGCCTATGACACTCGCGTTTTCAAGACAAATATAACCACATATGAAACATTAAAATCGGTCAAGCCCTTTAGTAATTACAGGGGAACATAGGATCGGACATATTTATGTACATACATACATACAGCGTCAAACACTTAGCCCTCTTTTGGACTTTGCTGCAATCGGTAAAAAATTTTTTTATTTAATCATATTTTTTTCAGTTCAACGAAGATCTAATCATTGGACAACCAGCAACTGCTCTTCTCTCGTTTGTGAACCCGTTAGATAAGCCTCTCACAGCTTGCGAGTTCCGAGTGACGTCATCTGGCATCGCCGGGAGGACGTTGCGCTTCGCGGCGTCGGATGCTGCGCCTCACGGGCAGATGACTGCTGAATTACCTGTTGTTCCTAATGTACGTTGATTGATCTTCATTTCAGTGCTTATTTGTCCAAACTATCAATTTACCGAACGTTTTTATTACAGAATTATTTTCTTTTAAATGTCAATTGTGATGGTATAAAATACACATTTTACTTAAACGCCAAAAAATATGTTATCTATATATTATGCATATAAATCTTATAAATAAGGCTTTGTTTTTGAAATAGAGAAAAAAATCTCTCTACTGTCAAGTACAACAAGTATTGGTAGTAAAAGCATAAGCGCTAAGGCAAAGATTAGACGCTTATAACAGTTTAGCGGATTTGAGATAATCGATGAGGAAAAATTAATTTATTAAGAATTTTTTTTACAAAGCTTGAAGAGCTTATGCATTTAGATCTAAAACAAAGTAGAAAATATGATTCAAAAGTCACTATCAGTGACTTTTCTCAATAAATTCGAGAACTGTTTTTTTTTAATAGGGAATGCTTTATTTTTTTATCCAATTAACTCGTTTATTTATTTTTATTTACAACTTTTCTATATATTAAGTTATTAATATTTGTATTATTTTACAGAAATTGGGCAAAATCAATTTTGTGGCAACATTCAAATCTGTTGAACTTAAAGATATCAACGGTGCGGCCAGCGTTGAAGTGTTTGAAGGATAAGTGATCTTACTTAGTATAAGGCGAACTTTTGTATACATTTGTTCTTATACAATTCATAATTTTAAGACTTGTTGACCTACATGTTGTAAATAAGTTGATATTTTAATCTACATTTTGGAATTTATGAGTAAGCAGTGACGTAGCTATGCCAATGCACCCGTGCGGTCGCAACGGGCCCCTGGTCCAAGGGGGCCCCAATGGGCCACAAACGATTCTTTTATTTCAAAACAATTTTTCGAGGACGGCCCTCATAAAAGTATAAAACTTACATTATATATACATTTCTTACTTATCAACTTATTCACACCATGTTGTTAAAAAAATATACATTTCTATTTACATTATTCGTGCCATAAGATGGTAGCTTTTATATAAAAGATTAAGCTTTTTTTATATTAATATATAAAATACTATTGTAAGAATTTTTAATATTTTATTGTTAAGTCTTACCGCTTCAGAGAACGCAGGATCGATTCTTAGAAGAATCCAAATTTTGTATGAACCACACAATTTGTATGAACAGTTTGTTTCTGTCTTAATAAGACTTTTTGTCTCTGTTGTGACTTTTTACATCGCAATCGACATCATATGCAAGCGGCGCCATCTGCACGACGTCGCACATAAAACCCGTCATTTACGTCATGAAATAGTCATGATCTTTAAGTCATTTTAAAAATGTACACTATATATTATAATTATTTAGTAATAATATAAGGATTTTTATACGAAAAATGAAAATAAACATATTTAAATCAAAACGTTTATTCAATTCCATGCAGTACACCATTTTCGCTTACAACTTACAAAAATGTTTGTTCTGCTACCACTACCATAACTACCGCTTACATTTAACACAATACTCAACTTTAACCGATTACGTGCTTATTTTGAAAAAAAAAACAAATTCATTCACATTACATCAGTACTTTATAATGAATCTGTAATAATTACGACCGCTTTGAAATCATCTAACAAAAGTTACCCATCAATTTAACTTACATAAATAAAAATAAATGTTCGTACGTTTGTCCTCTACGTGTTCCTAAACCATTAATCCGATTGTGATGAAACTCTGGTGAGATATTCAGTATACGTCTGCGAAAGTTCCCGTGCGCAAAAATCTTTGGATGTTTGACTTTTATGCATTCCTAAGCCATACCAGTTTATGAACGCACCCGAGCGAAGCGAATTTCAGTCACTAGTTGAATATAAAAGTGACACAAAGTATTTTAAGTAGGGGAGCCCAAGAGGTGATTTTTGGTGTTACTCAAGCGCGGCAGATTAACATAAGGGAAGAGGTCCTGCACTCTGTTGAGTAATCGACTATAAAGTTTATGTACGATTTTTGTCTGTTCGACTTGTGGAAATCGGCAGATTATTGATTTGCACACTTTACAGGGTGTAATTAGCCCATTATACCTTAATCTGACGGTTTCAAATATTTCTACCTTATTAAAATATTTTTAAATATTTTGATCGGCTGCCCACGTACGCCCACATATAGAGTACTTATACTATCATGGTGGAGGCACTCAACAGAGTGCAAGGTATCCCCCTTATGTTAATCGGCCACGCTTGAGTAATTCCAAAAATCCCGTCTTGGGTTCCTCTACTATTTTATTGTGTCATTTTTAATACGTTCTCTTCTCTATCATCAAGGCCAAAGATGTCAAATAAACTATATGTATATTATTTTAATTGTTGTTTGTTTAATATTTAATATAAATAATGATTGATAATTATATATGGGTAACATTTATATGACGATTGAAATTTGGTCTTTATTTTTATTAACAGTATGATTCAATTATTTGAGGTTTAGAATTAGAAGCACAGGGAGATAATAATAAAATAATAAAAGAAAAGAAAGAGGATATATGAGGTATGTAAATACTTAGTTCAGGTGTATGTTTTTTCGTGTGTATGTCACGCGATATCTCTCCAACTATGAACTGAAGTTAGGAGTGTTTTATACTAAATTAAAAACATTTTAATGACTACTATATTAAAGATTCAGATTATGTTATTTTAGATTAAAATTAAAAAATAAGACAGGTGCTAACAAACGAGGGTGTTACATGTAAATAATATTTATATAATTTACATGTAAATAAAATTGAATATTTTTTGACGTGTCCGCGACTAGTACATCGATGAAGGTTAACTTATCAATAGTGGCAGTAAAAAAGGTTCATTTATTTTAAATAGTGTGACTTTTTTTAATGTTATTTGTATTATCATGTTATATTATTTGTAAATGTTTTTCGTAATAACAGCCTTATAGGGTAACTAAAATCTACCACACCCAAATAAACGATATTACATGGATAGGAGCACTTATTTAATTTAAATCATAAAATAGAATTTTGTAATACGCATCGGTTAAAATAGTACTAGGTACAAAATCAGCGACAAAAAATGATCTCACCGAATGACCGCTCATTTGAACAATTGAGCGCGCTTTTAATTTTTTTTTGTGAAAACAACTTTAAGCATTGCATTTAAGGCTCAATTTACATTGTAATATACAAGTAGAATAATTACCTAAACACAATTGGTGACAGTTTTAAGATAACTTTAAGATGGGATTGTGTATCTAGTACTTTTTTGATCGATGGTAATAAACCAAAAAATGCTTCTAAAATCACAAAGTCAAGAAAGGTTGGATACCACTGAAATACTTATTATCAAAGGAAAGATTCTAAAAAGATTGATTTCTTGGAAGAAATATATAATGTCTTGTCTATAATTATTTTATTGCAATGCAATATATTATTTTAATACGAAAGTCCTTACTTCTATATTATTTTTATATTAAATTTCATAATATATTGAAAAAGACAACCATTTAATTATAATCTTTGTGTTTACTCAATAAATTTGCAAAAGTTACGATTCTCTACGTGGAAACTTTTTTTTATTGAGTTTTGTGGGTTTATATTTTTTTTTTCATAGAAGATATATATATATATATATATATATATATATATATATATATATATATATATATATATATATATATATAATTAAGTGTTTTTTAAACCATCAACTGGAATGAAGGAACTCGCGGACGGCAAAAAACGAATTATTGTGAAAAAACTTTAAATATACATAAAAAGCATTTTTTTCCATTACATATTAGTATAGAATAATTGATTTTTTTAAAGGATACAATAAAGAAAGTGTTAAACAGAAGTATACACGATTTTTTTCATATTGACTCTTCGAGCCGAATACATGTTATATTGCGAAATATTATCGAATAAAAAAAATATGTTGGGACATTAACACACAACACCATCTAGTTCCATGGTAAGCTACGAGGCTTGTGTTATGGATATCAGATAGTTGTTACACTACACATATATAACTTTAAATACATGACTGGAGTACAAACATTCGTGCTCATCACACAAATGAATGCCCCCAGCGGGATTCAAAACCGCGACCGCTGGCACAGCAAGTAGGATCACTACAAACTGAGCCAAACGTGTCGTCAAAAAAAACAACCATAAGTTTTGCAAAGCGTTATTACAAAAATAAAATATTTTTGCAATAACTAAATAAAAGAGAAATCACTATTAAATTCCACGTATTCATAATAATACTTATATTATTTATGACGTCTTTTAATAAATAAATTTCATATTTCATCTTAAAATTAGAAAACAAAAATATATCTAGCTTGGTTTTTTATTTACTTAAATATTATTAACATTTATAATGAAACCTTTTTCATACTTTGGATGTTTTTAAAAATATAATACGTACTTTGTTTTGATTTTAAACAACTGTCTTAATACAATAAAAATAAAGAGTGCATTTAACCATTACGGGCAGTTGCAGTAAAACTTTTCTGGCGCTGTGACAGATACCGCAATTAATATTAATTCAAAATGAGTATCGCGGAAGTGAAGAGTCATATTTATCTATACATATAATAAAATTGTAAATAAGCCGAATATGTACATTAAACATTTTTAGGAAAATCTTATTGAAATAGACATTTTTTCATTATTATCGATACAGAGGCCGAATCTATAGTTGTTAGAATTTTTGTCTGTCTGTTACCGCATCACAGAAGAACCACTGGAGGGATTTTGATGAAATTTGATATGGTGATAGCTGGTTAACATATAGGATACTTTTTACAGCGGGAAAATATCTCATTTCTGAGAAAAAAATCAATAACTGCAAAGTAAGAGTATACTAATATGTAAAACCTAAGAATTTGGTTCTTGGTCATCTGAACGCGGGCGGAGCCGCGGGCATTGCTAGTTATTAATAAATATGACCCTCACTTCCGCGCCACTAATTTTTCCAATGTATTGACTTACCTATAAAAGTTTTACTTCAAAAAAGAAACAATGAATTCTTTATACATCTGTAAAAGTTAAAACTATGTTTCAACTAAACACATTATTGGATAAAATATTGTTCAGAATCTAAAATTATCAATTCAGTGATACATAATATCAGTGGCAAAATGACATAAATATATTTTTACACAAATTTTAATTATATTAAATTATAAATATGAAATTTTAACAATTCTATTATTATTAATTTTACTTTCAAAGTGTATTTTAGGTCATTTTTGCACTAACATGTTGTATTTTTTGCCTAAAATACATAAGTCCAAAACAAATAAAAAAAAATCTATACATATTTGATACCAATTATTTATTATACGACATATTCTTTGCTCTTCAATTTTTTGGTAACACAATAATATGTATCAAAAGTTCCAAATTTTGTTGAGAAAAAATAATTTAATATATTTTGTCATCGTCGTTATAAGATATTGCTAACTTCATTCGAATAAAAGATATTACTCATAACAAATTCAGTTACGTCTTTTTTTTAATAAAAAAATACAGCCGAATTGACAACCTCCTCCTTTTTGAACAAGTCAGTTGAATAAACAAAAAATACACATAAATTTTTGTGACAAAGCAGAATTTTCAAAAGCATTTGCTTGACATTATACAAATAGACGATTCGCATTCAAAATCCAATCTTATATCATTTTCATCTTTAATGCTTTATTTTAGAGTTCAATATCGCATACAAAACCTTCCACTTATTGCCAATCTACAATCAACTCTATATTTTTTTAGAATAAAGTTGAAAATGAACTAACCTAATTAACTTTGACCTTCCCGGTGACTAACTTGGCATATTCTTCATAAAACCTCGGGAACAGCTGTATGGCGAAATAAACTAAAGTAAGGTACGCTATGATAACGAGGGTGAGGATCAAGTCAAAAACTGCTGGTTTTACGCTGAAAATAAAAAATAATAATAATCTATACTAATATTATAAATGTGAAAGTTTGTGAGTGTGGGTGTTTGTTAATCTTTCATGCCAGAACGGCTGAACGGATTTAGACGAAATTTGGCACAGAGATAAATAGATAGTCTGGAATAACACATAAGCTACTTTTTATCCCGGAAAAATATACGGTTCCCGTGGGATAGATTTGCTGTTGTTTTGTGTTCTATGTTAATATGAAAAATTGACATTAATGTGTATGTATCCGGGACTCTTTTAATGTAACAAGCATATATTTTCATTTATTAACTATCGAGTTTACTGTTTTTTTCTTCAAGTATTGATTTTTTCACAGGCAAAAAGGTTAACGTATCAATATGCCTCAAAATCAAAATATACTTTATTCAAATAGACTTTTACAGGCACTTTTGAATCGTCAATTTTACATGTCCAAATGTAAATGTCGATTTGTAAATCCGTGAGGGATCTATCACCGACTCGGAGTTCTGCTGAGTCTTCTCAGCAGAACTGCCTGCTAGAAACTCAGAAGTTTTTCTTTTTAAATATAGTAATAATTTACAATATATCAATACAAAATTATTGTTCTTATCCTACGTGAGTATCAACTAACAGTTATCCTACACATTTGCATCAGCAAAGTATTCCGCGACGGAATAATATGCTTTGCTATTAAATACATATATTTTAACCTTTTTTTAAACTTTTACTTAAACTGTTCAAGTTACAAGCTCCACATAGTGTGGAATTTTATTATATATACCTACATATATACATAATATGTATGTACACCATGTCCCATAAAGGACTTATTCACTTTTTGAAGATGAAATCTTGGCGTTATCAGTTTGCCGTTATTTCTAGTATTTATTGTGTTTTGTGTCGTGTATCTGGACATGAGCGTGTGTGTGTATACATACCTATAAACATATAGAACAGCTTTAGTGGGCGAGTACAATGCGTATTCCGGCTCGCGCTTGTCCACCGCGTGCGCGCTCACCGTCACCTCCATGTACCGGGAGAGCACGCGCTCTATCGCGCCCGTCACACCTGTTTACAGTTAGGACATTGTCACGTTATTAATACTTTAATTAATTAATCTATACGAATTGTGGTGGACTGTATTTAAAGGGTACTATTAAAACACTTTTTCTTGCTGACTTCTTCTTTTATATTTATTTTGTAGGAAACAGGTATTAAGAGTTTTGCGGGCACTGAATGATTTCCATACAAAATCCCCTATATTTATTCCAATATTTATTACTATCGCAATACGTATACTACTCAATGAGTTAACATTAATAACTTAATCTAATTGGTCAATACAATACAATGCAAGAGGTGTGGCTAATTTTAAGCGTACATTAGAATCCGCGTACAAATAGATCATTAAAAAATAGATCATTAAAACTTAGGCTAGATGTTGCCTTTGGAGCTGGCCGGAACTCGACGGTGCTCGCTTTGTTTGGAGAAAGTTGGAGGGCTAGAGAGTAACATAGGCTACTTACTGCGGGAAATTATCTCATTCCAACGGGAAAAGAGCAACTCATCATACCTATGTACATATAGTCTATATATTCCATACTAAAGATTAATAAATTGATATTTTTATGTAACCAATAAATATATACACATATATGTACATTGAATTTCGCGCAGATAAAAAAAGGGATGAAGCTGTGTGCCAGTGCCTACCCACAATCGTGCAAAATGATTTCAAAAAAAACAAAAATGGCACCAAAGTACTTTACAATATTTATTGGTTTTTATTCAAAACTTTTTTTTTTCAATAAGAATTATATTTAACATGGCACTGTTTGTATGTAACAAGAATATGATGACCTTTGAGACGTCTAAAACTTTAAGTCTCTCCCGTGACCATGGATGCTGTAAAGCACTCTAAATGTCGGGAAACAAAAATCAAAATAAATCCGCGAAATAATCCGAAAAGATAATCTTATTTAAAATGTAAAATATTCGCGTCTTATAAAGTCAAATAAAGTTTTATTTAAAATGTAAAATCTAACAAAGTAGTATATAAAACACTACCTGCATTGGGCGGAGTTGTAGTGACGATTTGTGGCGCTCTTGATTGCGACGATAAGAATTTGTACAACTGTCTGATTGATGCCTCTTCTATATTCTAAAGAAATTGAATATATATATATGAAAATATAATTAGAAAACAACACAGACAGACAAATAGTATGATGAATAAAAGTTCCACTTCAAATTATAAAAAAATATTTCACTAATAAGTGAAAAGTTTTAAGATATTTATTATTTACATTTATTTTTATGATCGAGTAGATAGATAATATCATTAAATAAAAAAGAAACTAAGCTAATTTGGTTTTAAATTATATATTTTTTTGAAGTTATACTTCTTTTGGCACGTTAGGAAAAAAAATATGAGAGTAAAATTTTTTTGATGCGCGCGCACACCGACAGCCAAAAAGCAACATGATGAAGTTAGCTGCATTCCTTTTACAAACAGAGAATTGTGACATACGGTTATTATTATCTCAGAGGCAGTTTTGCAATCAGTAAATTTAAAGAAAAAAAAATCTACATAGGTTTAAAGACGGATAATAATAAAATAAATAATAATTAAATTTACATTATTGTAAAATTGGTGACCTTTTTAAATTTATCTATATCAAATAACGATAAACTTTGTAAAATATCATCTAAGGCCCCTAAATAGAAATCCTGTTCTATTACCCAGAATCCAGATCCACTTACCAGGGCATCATCATACAGCTGGGAGTCTTCATCATTCTCCTCCTCGGTCAAGTTGTATATATGTGATGCGAGAGCTCGAGCTGTACTGACTACATTCTTGGTTAAAATTCTGAGGGAATTCTCTGATGACACATCCAATAGTGTGTTTCTTGACGGGTCTTTGTGACTCTGGAATCAAAAATTGTCAATTCATTGTTAAATAAAACTATCTTTTCGGATTATTTCGCAGATTTATTTTGATTTTTGGTTCCCGACGTTTCGAATGCTTTACAGCATCCATGGTCACGGGAGAGACTGAGGTGTTACATGTCTTAAAGATATAGTTGTTACAGACAGACCCACCCACAATTAACAAAATGAAAATTGCACCAATTACATTACAATATTTTTAACTTTAAACATTTTTATAATTTTAATTATAATTGAATATGGAAAATTATTTATTTAATTTTTGCTATTATTTTTATAATTATTACAATTTTAAAAAATATTAATTAGTAATCTATATTTAGTGTTGCCATTATTATATTTATAACCATAAATAAAAATATAAAAATATAGTATTAATTATTAAAGCCATATAATTGTTCTATGTATAATTTAAAAAAGTTAAAATTAATTAAGGACTTAACTTTTTTAAATTATACTATTATAAAATATATTATTATAAAAATAATAGCAAAAATTAAATAAATAATTTTCCATATTCAATTATAATTAAAATTATAAAAATGTTTAAAGTTAAAAATATTGTAATGTAATTGGTGCAATTTTCATTTTGTTAATTGTGGGTGGGTCTGTCTGTAACAACTATATCTTTAAGACATGTAACACCTCAGTCTCTCCCGTGACCATGGATGCTGTAAAGCATTCGAAACGTCGGGAACCAAAAATCAAAATAAATCCGCGAAATAATCCGAAAAGATAGTTTTATTTAACAATGTCAAACATTCGCGTAAATCTAAGAAAGTATTAATGTCAATTCAATTTTCTCGCTTGTTTATTTATAATGCCTTAATAATGTGGCATTAGAGCACAGATTACTTTATATACTTTATATATTTATATATAGACAGAATAAATCTATTGGAATTAAAAAAAATTAACGCGTTTATTATTAGTTTTGCTTATTATAACTCGGTAATGAAATCTTGGAAGTCGACTTTAATCAACGTCTAAGAGGCATATGATTTAATGTACCAAAAATTTGCAGTGACATTCATAAAAAACAAGGGTTTTATTAATACCTAGCAACCTAAAAAATAAACTACCAAAATGCAAAAAAAATAAATTTCACATTTATATAAAAAATAGCTATATCTTTGTAGTGTAAATGTTAAAAAGGTTTCCAATATTTTTTTTTAAATTACCACATACCTGCAAAGAGCTGACAGTGAACGCAGTCATTCGTCTGATACTAAATCTCTCATGATGCCAGGCCAGCAGTTCATCTGCCAGGTTAATTTTCTTATGTACCAGCGGAACACCCATACGGGCTTTTATTGACTGAACTGGTGAACCAGGTTTGGGGGGTTTGGAAACGTGCATTGTGAGAGGTCCTGATGATATGGAGTCTAGGCACATCACGAAGGAAATGTCCTGAAAATAAATGGTTTTATGCTTATATTGAAGATATGTTCAAATACTTCAAAGGGTGATCTAGACAAATAATATAAAGAGATAAAGTTCGTATGTAGGAGGTGATCTCTGAAACTACTCATCCGATTCTGAAAATTTGCAAATTCGCAGAGTGCTATAGGTTATTTTTTATTACGTTAACTCCATATCTATACAGATAAATAAAATTGAAGCGTCTGTTTGTAATTTTTTATTTCTGTATCCCGCTCAACGCAACAATCTGTCATTAGACATTTAGCTGCTCCTTTGTTTGAAGTTATTCAGAAATAGGTCTTTGTAGCAGTGAGAAATAGTCCATTGACCACTCTCGCTTATTCTGTTGGGAATCAGTTTATTAGATTTGGAACACTGTTCCTCCTCAGTCTTGTGTAAACGGTACTTCCAGATCCCGCCAAATCAGCAGCCAGGGAGTTGACATGGTTGGTTAGTTTGTACTGGTAGTTTTGACTAAGGGCAGCGATTTCTTGTTTAACTGTTATTAGCTTAAAGTCTTGCAGAATATATTTATTATGAATGCATTTAGGTAAGTTAAACATGGATCTGATGGCTTTGGTTTGAAACCTTTCCAGGATGTCAATGTTACTGTTGCTTGCTGTTCCCCAGAGTTCAATACCGTATATCCAAACCGGTTTCAATATGGTTTTGTATATTGCCATTTTGATTTCGTTGGTTAACTGAGACTTTTTACCAATCAGCCAGTACATGCTTCTCAACTTTGAGTCTAGGGTCTTTCGTTTCTGCCATATATGTTTTTGCCATGTCAGTCTTCTGTCCAAATGCATGCCGAGGTATTTGCTGTATCATCGTGTGGAATTTGTTCTCCGTTTAATGTGATTGGGGGGCAGTTGCCTTTTCTTAGAGTAAAAGTGACGTGTACAGATTTGTTTTGATTCGCCTTTATTCTCCATATCATTAGCCACTTTCCGATATCATTAATGTGTTTCTGCAGATTCGTTGATGCGACTTCTGGGTTGGTGTGTACTGACATTATTGCAGTATCGTCTGCAATGAGCAGGGCTCGTGGCAATGAGGGTATTATCATCTGTAGGTATGTCAGCTGTAAAGATGAGATACAGCACGGGCCCAAGAATGCTCCCCTGAGGTACTCCAGACCTGATTTCATGCAGCTCTGATGTGACGTGATTAAGTTTAACTTCGAAACAACGTTTGTCTAAGTAGCTTTCTAGAATGGAAAGAAAGGAGTGAGGTAAGTATTTTTTTAAATTTAAATAGAAAGCCGATATGCCAAACCCTATCAAAAGCCTGACTAATATCCAGGAAAACCGCGGAACAGTATTTTTTGTTTTAAAACGCGTGGCTAATTGTGTCTGTCAACCTATGGACTTGTTCGATGGTACCATGCTGCCGTCTGAATCCGAATTGGTGTCCAGGAAGTATGGTTTCTAAATACGGATGCATCCTGTTAAGAATAATTTTTTCGAAAAGTTTGCCAACCAAAGGGAGAAGGCTAATTGGTCTATAGGATGAGGTTTCTTCTGGTGGTTTGCCAGGTTTAAGAATCATGACAACTTGAGCAAGTTTCCACTGGGATGGGTAATGGGAGAGTCTGAGGCATGCATTGAAGAAACTCACCAAGAACATTATAGCTTTTTTTGGAAGGTTGTTTAGCAGTTCTGCATCTAATAGGTCATAGCCTGGTGCTTTCCTTGGTGGTAGAGCTTTGATCTCTCGGATAACCTCTTTAGGACTTACTGCCTTTAAGGGTAAGTATAGCTGGTTTGGCGACTGTAGGTAGTTGGATATTTCATTATCCTTATCGGGTTCAGTGCAAGGTAAAGGATTGAAGACATTTAATAAGTATTCGGCGAATACGGTTGCTTTTTCTATTTCAGATCTAGCCCAACCTCTGTCTTGTCTTCGCAACGACGGAATATGGTCTTTTGGTCGCTTGAAATTTTTGGTTGCGCGCCATAGCGAGTAATTAGTATCCTTATGTGGGGTGAGGTAAGATAGGTGTCTTTGTAGGCCGATGTTCTCATATTCTTTGGTCATTTCATTCAATTCTTTTGATGCTCTGTTAAACTTAGTTTTGTCCGAAGGGTATCTGGTTCTATGCCATTCTTTTCTCATTTTGCGCCGTTCGTTGACTTTCTCCATTATGTTCTTTGGGAATTCCGTCTGCTTTGTCTTTGCTTTTCTATTTTTAGGTGTTGAAGCGGTGGCTGCTAGGTGTATTGTGCTGTTGAGCATTTCAACAGCTGTCTGTCTGTTTGTAATGTCAAAATAACAGCATTTTACTAAATAAATACATATGAAATTATATACGGTACTTATAAGAAAAACACATTTTTTAAAAATTTTGTCTGCCTGTTTGTTCCGGATAATCTCTGAAACAGCAGGACTGATTTTGACGGAACTTTCACTGAAAGATAGCTGATGGTATAGGGAGTAACATAGGCTACTTTTATTTTAGAAAAAGAATTAGGGATCCGCTCAAAAAAATTAAAACATACCTAGGGACGAACCCGACCGAAGCGAGGGTGAGTCGCTAGTTACCAATATGAATGAAGCCATTACTACTAATAAAGTTAAAACAGCAATAACATACAATAACCCAGATTCCTTTCGTTATTATAGGGGTAATTATTTGACCGAGCAAGCAAAGCATCTCTGCTGCAAGTCTGGCGAAATTCAGGTTGTTGGTACTCCTCTGCAGTTTGTATTTTATAACAGACCTAGACGAAACGTGGTATACAGTTTTTATGACTTTATAGAATTTTTTTGTCGTCGGGGATTTTTAATTAGATCTGGAATTCCTCCAAAAAGGGCAAAAAGTGGGCCACTGGATATCTCTGCTTTATGAGACCCGACTTCGATGGTTCTTTTTTTCATTTAGAAGGTAGCAACTTTAAGGTGGTCTTATAAATATGTGGTAAAGATCTGATAAGGATCTTTCGCGTGAGGAGCAGCCTTAAAATGCAGTTTGTGCTCGCGAGGTCTACTGTACGCAGAACTACTAGTAATACGAGTAACAGTGTAATATGAGTCATATAAAAAAACATCTCTCACCTGCAATAAAGAAGCATCAGCAGAATCCAACTGCTCTTCCAACCACTTCTTAGTGGCAAAGTAGTTCAAGGAGTGACCGGTGGACATCAACACGAACAAGAGGGAGGGCCCTCCTCGCATCGCGGCCGTGGAATATAGACGGGAAAAGACTCGAGCCAGTTCTAATACCGCTACTGCCCCAGATGCATTCGAATCAGCCCCATTTGATAACTCCTGTGGAACATTTAAATAATAATGTAAAATTGACATTAATTAAAAAATTAGAATATATAAAATAAATAGTTACGTTTTAACGTTTAGTATAGATTTCTCAGAGATGAGATATTTTACTGCAGTAAAAACTATCCTATATGTTGACCTGAATAACCAACTATCATCCTACCAAATTTCATTAAAATCGGTCCAGTAGGTTTCTCGTGATGCATTCTCAGATAGATAGACAAATAGACAGGCAGACAGACAGACAGACAAAAATTCTAAAAACTATAGATTCAGCTTCTATATGGATAATAATGACTATTTCAATAAGATTTTACAAAAAATGTAAAGCTTTAAAAATGCACATCATTCTTTTTTAAAGATGGTCGAAATCTAATACTGTCTTATGGTCAAATCTAAAACATTTTTCTGTTATGGAGATTGTAGACTACCTTAATTTTTTGTGCTCTAATATAAACTTTCATCTAGATGCCTATTCCCTAGTAAGAATATTCATCATTCATAATTATAATAAACTAATTAATACTCACAGGAATGATGCTGGAAGAGTCATAGTGTGCAGCAATAACAATGGTCTGAGCAGTACCAGAACGACCCACCAACTTGCCATGTATTGTAACAGGTTTCGAATCTAGTTTCTGAGGTGCCGATGCAGATACCACTAGAAATATTCATTGACACTGATTTACTTATGATATTTTAAGTTAAATATATTATAAGTAAGGAATATAATAAAGTGCAAGACACTGTTATATTACATTTATATTATTTACTATATATATATATATATATATATATATATATATATATATATATATATATCTGTTATATTACATTAGCAACATAAAAATGCAGATTTTGTTTACAATTTGAACTCTTAAGTCTTTTTCTTAAATAATAGCTATCTAGCTAAGTTACTCCTTAAAACATCAGCTGGAATCCCAAGTATTTTATCAGCTAATCTGCCAGTGTAAGTCATGTCAAAATCGGTCCAGTCATGTCTGAGATTAGCCAGGACAAACAGACAGACACACAAAAATTAAATTAAATGATTTTTTCTTACTTATTAGTACTGTGTATACTTTCATATGCATTTAGTAAAAAGTTACTACTTTGACATTACACACAGACACTTTTATTTATCTGTATAGATTTAATGAAAGTCTTGTAAGAAGTTTATTACTTACCAATTTGATAGCCATTGGATGATACAGTATTGAACATAGCTTCCAAAGCAGTTCCTGATTTGTCATCAGTGATGAAGCTGTGCTGCAGATCTTTAATAATGTCCCCAAAATCGGGAGTCCACTCGGCAAAGTACACTGGAATGCTGATCTCTTGTTGCATCATTGCCATTTCCAGAAGTTTGATATGCTAAAATTGAATAATTGTTTTACTATTATTTCATTTTATAATTGACAAAAAAAATGTATAGAAATTTTAAGTCTTTATAAATACATTAATATTAATCATTAAAATTCAAAATTGAAAAAAAAAACCTGTTATATAAATATATGATTCATATAAAATAACAAAATTTATAATTACTAAAATTTATATTAAAAAAAACTAAATCCATCTAACATACATTCACTTTTCAAATATTCATATAAGCTAAACACTTAATTAAATAATTATAAAAACCATGACATGTCAAAGTATACATTATTTTAATGAAGATAATATAAAATTTTAATTGTCTTTTTACACAAACAACAAAATTGTAATGTAATATTTTTTTCACTTTTCAATAATATTTTTGTAACAGTAGGTAATATTAATATGCACCTCTTTTTCTTCATCAGTCAGTAAAGTATTATTTTTAGGCAAAACCAATAATAGAGCTCCAGCTTTGTTTCTGATTTCCACAAACTGATCAATAGTGATATCTTGGATGCGAGCAACCACACAGTGGCGAGACATGCTCCAGGAGGTGAGAGAACGGCCTTCAAGGTTGAAACTAGCACTGCGGCATCCTATTAAAATAACAACAATCAATTACTTGTTGTAGAGTATACAGTAAGGCTTATTATAATCGTTTAAATGTTCAAACTGCAATTCCCTACTTATCTTAAAATATTTTATTTAAAAACATTTTTTTTTCTTCTTTTTATTTATTAGAATTTAGAAAAGATTTTTTATGGGGGAGTAGTTACTTGTGTAATTTACATGTAACATTTATAGTCTTGCTTTAAAACACAAAAAAAGTACATTTATCATTTAAAAAAACGAGATTAAAGATCACTATCACATTAAACAGTTACAACCTTTGGGAGCTTTATGAAACTGGTATATCAAGATAAGGAAAAACAATATTTGATTCTCATTAAATTATAACCTAAAAATCGAAATTGTATTTTTTTTTCTAATATTATCACAAAGACATCTACTTAAATTACTAACTTACCATGGGGTACGGTGTGTAGGTCATATTGTTGCATTCTATATACCGAAAATTCGTGAGAAGCGGCAACTGGGTTAGCAGGCGACATTATAATAAAAATAGGGAAAACTACCAGTAAATAATATGGTAGATATCCTCTAAATATTTCAGCGAACCCATCGGCTTGGTCGAGCCACATTGTAGCAACTGTTTATGTTCACTTTTTAATGAAATTATCACAAAAATCAATTTTTAATAACACTATCCCATTAAAGAAACCTAACGTGTGTTATCTCGGTCAATGACATTTGATTTGCGTGACTTGACAGACCGAGTGAGGACAAAATATATAAAAAAAAGTAATGTCTATGGTTTACGTTCCGTTTAACGTTAATTTTACACTTAGCTACATTGTTTTACAAAAAGCAATTTATAGTGTACCGTTTTCTTGTAAAGAAAACTGAAAATTGCTCTTTAATTATTTTTATATCCTGTCCATTTATCATGAAAGTTTTGATATTTTAATTTTTCTCTAGTAAAAGGTTTTAAAAGTTTTTTAAAGCCCCTAATTTAGATTTCGGTGGACATTAGGGTCTATGCACACGATATTTTTTTTTACGCTGTCAACACGCGTTCAAAGCACAGTGAGCGTTTATTTGCGTTTGATACACGTCATCGGCGCGTTTATAAAACGCAGTGTGTATAGGCCTTTAGTTCCTGTTAGATGCTCTCGCTAAATGCTAATAAAAGATTGATTTAATAATTCTTTATATAAATAGGCAACCAGCGTCACCATGTAACCTTTTATCATTCTTACAGCCAGTTCCCAGTTAATTACATTTCCTAAATTAATTTCACATAAATTATTTACAATTAAAACAATTTAAACTATTTTTTTAACGGGAGCTATTCTACCTTTGCTGTAAAGCATTACAAACGTCCGGAACAAAAAGTAAAATAAAACCGTGAAAATATCAAATAATAGTTAAATGTATAACAATTGTACGACTCAGTAATGACTAAGTGGATTTTAATGAAACTTTTCTTATGAAACAATTAATGTTCTAAATTAAAGAATGAAATATAATTTATGTTTTATTATTTTACTTCTTTAGATCCCCATATAATGCTGTCCATATAAATAGTTATTATATCAAATGGTTATATATAAAACTGCATAATATGCACGAGAATTCGCAGACGAAAGCAGCTATTATCTAAGATACTAATTGTATTAAGTGGCTTCGTAAGCGGATTTTTTTATTTAGATTCACTAAGTTATTAGCATCAAACTAAACTATTGCTTTAATTTAGACTCTTTTCTAATTTATAAAAAAAATATAGTCTTGCCAAACGTTTTCGACTGCTTTACAATGTAGCAAACAGACAGGCAGACAAATATGAGACAACAAAATTTAAGTCATGTCCGAGGGTACGTCACTAGTGCATAATACCTATAGATATCTGATAATGACGATGATGTTCTCTTGACCGATTCCGGCCACGGCGGCCAATCTCATTGAGACTAGCCAACTGCGCAGGAGATATTATTGTGCACAAGTGTACGCGCAGACACAAGTGCACTCTCATACTCTGGTGGGACGACCACTCGACACGACCAGTGAGAGTTAAGGCGCAGGACCGACGGCTTTACGTGCTCTCCGAGGCACGGGGGTGAAACACCGCCAACGTCCCAACTCCGGGCTATAACTGAGGCTTACTATACAGAAAGACACTTACACAGAAAGAGGCTTACTATACAAAAAGAAACTTGGCCTCGGGACTCGAACCCAGGACCTCCGGGTGTGTAGCCGTACATGCTAGCCACTACACCACCGAGGCAGTTATCCACCGAGCACCGAGGTATAGATATCTAATAGCTATATATGCTTTCTTTTTTTTTAACGTTGGGAAATGCATTTACGCTCGAGGTGTGGGACTCACCGGCAAAGCCAGTAGTACCCTGTAAATCCCAACAAAAACCTTCCCCCGTCTTAATGGGGCGTCGCAGGATCGCTTACGCATTCAACTACGACGCCTCGACGGCAGGTCTGCCGAGGCAGACCACAACGACCATGGGGTTGCTCCAAAGTCCACTCTGCTATCAAAGAAGTACCAGGAGCAACCCGCATGGTCCACCGCGCTCTGAAGAGGGCCACCTCCCACCACCCACTGAAATGGGCCACCTCCCACCACCCACTGAAATGGGCCACCTCCCTGAGCGTTTCTTGGCTTCGCGCCCGGCTGTATTGCCGGGCACTACTGAGCCCCTCCACCACGACAAGGTGAACGCACGTTGGGGGGATATGTATATGCTTTCTGAGATTTACCTAATATTTACTTGTTGTGCACACTCGTAAGTAACGAGTACAGTAACTAGTTATCCAAGTAGAGATAAGGTTGAAAAAGTCATTAATGAGGTAATTTCTCTTCGAAAGCTCTTTAAAAGGACCATTCTACAAATTTATGCTCCTTTATTTTACATTTATTTTAAAATAATATTTCAAAAGTTATAATAGTAGCTGTGTAATGATAAACCCATGAACGAATTAATGACTAATTCGTTCATGAATAAACCTTATCTCAAAAAGAACTCTTTCAGAAACTACTAATCCAATTTAAAAAATTCTTTTTGCAATACATAGACCGTTTATTGAGGAAGGCTATAGGCTATATATTATATAATATATAGTCTATCTATTCCATATTAACTGTTAAAACATACCTAGCTAGTTTCTAATCTATACTTCTATACTTAATGTTATAAAGAGGTAAAGTTTGTGAGTTTGTGAATTGTGACGTTGTAGGGGGTAATCTCTGGATCTACTGAACCGATTTAGAGGAAATTTGGTAGGAAGATAGGTTAAGACCCTAGGAAGGACACTTTTTATCCCGGAAATCCCCCCTTAGCGGGGTGAAAAATGGGATGAAAGTTTATATGGGGATTCAACCTAGGGCCGAACCCGAGCGTAGCGAGGGTGAGCCGCTAGTATAACATAAATATTTAATGTAATAGGAACATCCAAGTCTAACTTACTGACGTTATAAAAGTTTTTTCTTCTAATAGGGCTTCTAATAGTGCTTTGCTAATTTTTCTACCAAAAACTAAATCATACTATTATTTATATATATATATATATATATATATATATATATATATATATATATATATATAATTCATTAATTAATGTTAAAGTTTGTATGTTTGTGTATTACGTCTTCACGTTAAAGCGGCTGGACAGATTTATATGAGCATACACATAGAGGACCTGGGTAACACATTAGCTACTGTTAGGTACCTAGGGAAGCAACGTAATTTACGTAACGTAATTATTTAAAACTAAACTTTTAAGTATGTTTTTAATTTATTTAATCACCTGCAAGGAAACCTAATGTAATTAATATGCTTATGCGAATTTTGATTCTGGACTAAATATTTGAGAAATTAATTTCTATTTTGAAATTATATTAGTTCTTGCAAATTTCAATATGGTTTCAAATCTCCTATAAATACAGCAAGCCTGCTGTAATCTTATAAAATGCGATTGAATAGATTGGCAGACAATATTTTTAAATACTATTATATAAAGACTATTGGCTTCTCTATATAAATACACTATTGGCTTCCATTATAGTCCAAACAATTATCAAACTCAAATCTGTTTCGTCACAATTTTGTTATAGTACAAAACTTCATCTGCAGCTAATCGCATGGCGCATCTCAGCTAGCATAGCATGTACTTACTCTGGGACAGCGTGGATATCTACAAGAATTAGATGATTCACAAAATGAAACATAATATGATGTTATTCCATTCATTATATTATCTATACATAATATAATAAAATATATTTTTTGGAAAATCTTATTGAAATAGTCATTAATATCGATATAGAGGACGAATCTATAGATTTTAGAATTTTTGTCTACCTGACTGTCTGGGAACGCATCACAAGGAAACCACCGGACCGATTTTAATGAAATTTGATATGATGATAGCTGGTTATCCGGGTCAAAATATGGATACTTTTTAATGCGCGAAAATATCTCAACTCTGAGAAATCTATAAAAATAATAAATAAAAAATAAAAAAGCCTTTTATTTCACTACTAATAATTAATCAAGTAATACATTTCACATATTAAATTTTTATTAATTAATCAACATAATTCAGTGTAGAAGCGATAATCAGCATGCAAATATATTATAACATTTTAACATTTTTAGATTATTGTAAATTATAAACTTTTATTGCTATATTTATAAATTGAATTAAAATAAATTTTTATTATTATAATATACTAGCGGCTCACCCTCGCTTCGCTCGGGTTCGTCGCTAGGTACGTTTTAAATAGATATAAAAAGAAAAAATCTTTCTTTCTCACATTTTAATTATATGTTTTAATACTTACCTATTCCGGACTAAGAGAAATCCAAAAATTAAAATATCATAAAAATTGGAACGCGGTCGAACGGGATAAAAAGTATCCTATGTCCTTCTCCTGGCTCTAAACTACCTCCCTGCCAATTTTCAGCTAAATCGGTTCAGCCGTTCTTGAGTTATAAGCGAAGTAACTAACACGACTTTCTTTTATATATATAGATTATTGTACAAATTTATACTATTCTTATTTTTAAATTATATAATATATTAAATTGTTCTATTATTTTAAATAAAATTAAGTTACAAAATTAGCGTGAACCCCTCTATTTGAGGGTGTAGGCCTCCTCCATAGATGACCAGTATTCTCTGTCTGTGGTGTTTTACCCTCCACAGTTTTCCAGCTATCCCTTCAATGTCGTCTGCCCATCTACTTCTTGGTCTTTCTCTCTTTTTAGTTCCCAGGGGGCCTGACCATGACGTCAGCCGAGCAGCCGAGCAGAGAAATCTATACTAACTGTTAAAACATATCTTGAGATGAACCCGAGCGGAGCGAGGGTGAGTTGCATATATATAAATTATTTAAATTATAATTATAAATTAAAAAAATTAAAAAGCCCCTACGCAAATTAATTGTCATTTAACGATTACACTGGCACGCGTGAAGCACTTAATCGAGTAATTATACGCCAAAATGCCTTACATCATTTTGGAAAAGAGCTGATATTCTAACACTTCTGGACCGATATTAACCAAACATAGCTAAGAACCACCGCAAGGAAACTGGCTTTCAAATGAAAAAAACCGCATCGAAATCGGTCCTTCCGTTTGAGAGCTACTATGCCACAGACAGACACATACACACAGACAGACAGTCAGACATCGGTGGTTAAAATACATATCATTTAAAAAAAAACATTTTCACAGTTATTATTCTAGTTAAATTTAATAATTTAATAATATGCTTTAACGAGTTACTAAAGCTATTTAATTTTTAATTAGTGATAGAGTCATTGTATTCGCAAATGGTAGATGCTAAAGAAGTCCTACGAGCTCATTTCTGATTGCATAGATCATAATACATATTTAATTAATTTTAAATCCTATTCACATTACAATACAGCTTAAAATTGTTTGACTAAGTATTATTTGAATCGCGCATGATTTCTACAAACTCGGCAGTTGGTTATTATAGAGTTTAGGAAATTTAGACCAAATGTTCTTAAAAATAAGGTTCATTTTATGGTATGAATCGATCTTGCCGCACTAGGATGCGCTTCCGTGTTGGAATAAGGTTTAAGTCTACAATTGTACGCATATTAAAATCTATCTAGACAAAATGTAATTGGAAAAATTTTATTCGTCTTATTTCCTTAGTATTAATAGTAATTTCTCTCTTTTGAGCAAAAGATTTAATCCAATATCTTATAAATTTATAATTTTTAATAGAATAAATTGCTATGTGATTTATACAGCTTTTAATATAATATAAATTAGACAAGACTTAGACGAAAGAATTTAGACGAAAGCACATTCAATGTCGAAGAAAATCGTATTCTTGTATCAAGCGTAGGCTCTACGGCGTAGCTCATTATCGTAGACACGCTACCTTTATTGAAAACTATCAGGTGTATGCAATTTTAACTCACGCATTCAATAGGCTTTAACATAATTAGTTATATAGATTTAATTAATAATAAATAAATATATATACCTCTTATTAATGATATATTATTTTATAATAATAAATATTTTAAGTTAAATTGCTATGATATAGTATAAGAGCTAGCATAATTTAAGTTTTAAATTTTATGAGACATGCATACAAAGTTGAAAGCATACGTAGGTATACTTTCTAAAGTAATATACTTAACACATGTTTGTAATAAACGCATGCACGTATTGAAGTTATCTCTTAGACTGTTTTTAGGGCAGGTCTATTCACTAAGCGCGGGGCGGCGGCGCGGCGCAGTGCGGTTCTATCGAGCGACGTCGCGGGGGGGATAGAGCCGCGACTCGATACCGATGCATCGATATCTCGATTGTTATTTATTATTTAAATTTAATCAACTTTTACGTTATGATTTAGATGGGTTTTGTGTTTAATGAGCGAGTTGGTTTTTAGAGCGGTTTTAGGGCATGATGTTGTGTTAAAATAAAATAACATTTAATTTAATACTTATTGTCACGTGAAAATTAGGTATATTATTATAAATATGTAAAAATAATGGAATTAATAATAAAAATAAATAGATTTATAATAATAATAAATTATACAACATCAAATATTAACAATATGTATTTAAATAAAAAAGCAATTCGATATTCGATTTAAATTTCAAACGCGCGCCAGCCCGAATTCGAAATTCGGAAAAAGAATAGCAATGTCGATAGCGATCGGGCCGCGTCGCCTTCAGTGTACTCGCAGCCCCCGGGAGCGCGGGATGGGTGGCGCGCTGCTGCTCGCGCTGCTGGCGGCGGCGCGGGCCGGCGAGCCCAACGCGACCGACCTCACCGACTTCACCGACTTCAACGACCTTACAACCCCTGAAGCAGACCTCGAAGAAAAAACCCCGCTTTTCCCTGAAGACCTTTTCACTGAAGAACAGAGACGCTCCGGGGCAGTCCTGCTCCACGTGATAGGCATGGGCTACATGTTTGTGGCTCTTGCGATAGTCTGCGACGAGTTCTTCGTTCCAGCGCTGGACGTGATCATAGAAAGACTCGCGATAAGAGATGATGTCGCTGGAGCCACTTTCATGGCTGCAGGAGGCTCTGCACCAGAACTATTCACGTCCATCATTGGTGTATTCGTCTCGTTCGACGATGTCGGTATAGGAACTATCGTTGGTTCCGCCGTCTTCAACATCCTATTCGTGATAGGTGCGTGCGCGTTGTTTTCACGCACCACACTATCCCTCACATGGTGGCCTCTCTTCCGCGACTGCACATTTTACTCAATCAGCCTCCTTGTGTTGATATACTGTTTCCGTGATAACGTGATATACTGGCAGGAGGCGTTAGCACTTTTCTCGTTATACGGCGCGTACGTGATGTTCATGAGATGGAACCAGCCAGTTGAGAAGGCGTTGAAAAAGCTGATATACAAAAACAAGGTGACAAGAGTTAGGAGTACTGACCAGCTGATGCCTACGGTAAGCTCGCCCGCACCAACCTGCATGATCACTGACGTGGATTTGGTTTACATAAACTGACACTAATTTACAAATCTAACAAAAACATTGGCATATTACAATAGCACATCCCAAATCCATGTCGTTAGGAATCCTAGGTAGAGCCTGTTAATCTAGATACATCAATATAATATACTCTGTTATGTCCATTGTATGTCGTATTAACGTCGTAAAACTCACATAAAACTATCATTTTTCATCACGTTATGTCGATTAGTATCAATTATTCAAACGCGTGACATTATTGTAAACTGTACTGCGATTTCAGACAATTATCTTTAAGCTTACACTACAAATGTTACTTAGTTAAACCTAACGTATTTTCCGCATATGAAGGGTCGCGCGACCCTTGATGATAAATCGGAAATTAGCTGATTACTTTAAGCTTTTGATGCCTTATTTCATTAATGGCTTGTAAACGTCGACTTCTTGTGTGTTGTTTATTAAATAGCCTGTTTGAAACACGTTGTTATGGAGACTGCTAACTCGCCCTGATTGCTTACGTAACGCTGGCGTGACCCAGTGCATATTTTGACTGTATTAGGCCCATGTATTTTTATTGCCACGATTAGCAACAAAGTTCGTACGCGAGCCCGAAATTGGGTTAAATTTTAATGCCCACGTCGCGTGAACGTTCGTCCGGCAAGATCCTGAATGTCATGGCGTGATGATGTGCTTTTTTTAATTTATTCATATGTGGAAAATTTAAGACCTTAAAAATGACTTCATAAGAAAATTAAGCTTACATATGAAATTGATTTTTTTAACAGTTTATACTTTTTATAACAATATCTTTAGACCAAATACAATTAAATGTAAAATAACTTAATGCTATTAACATAATTAACGAAGTAATCTACGAAAAGCTCATAAAACAGCCGACTTCAAGTGAAACACATAGGTACGATATTACAAAATGAGTACTAATTACAAGAACATTCTACAATTAAGCAAACGAAAATTCGGCCATTGCCAGAATTACAAGTCTTAATTAACAAACAAGCCTTGAAATCCAAATAACGAAAGAGTACTCGTATATATTTTTTAAGGTATTTTGTATGAAATTTTTATTTAAAGACTAGATTTTTACAATGATTATGTTCCAAATGAAGAGTAAAATATGGATTATCGAATATATTAGTGTTTTAAGGTACCTAAAATGGATCGAAATGAGAAGGATCCCATAATTAAACGGACGTCTTGTGTACGTTTGAAGGACTATAAAGATAGTAAATAATATTTTTTTATTAAATTGAAATAATAACAATAGGTAATATAATGATCTTTTAAGCCATACTTGTTTAACGAGTTTTTTTTTGACCGACTTCAATCAAATCATATATTCGTAATTGTAAACGGATTTTCATAAAAAATTAAATGATGTCATCAGTACTGATAATTATACAATTCTACCTCATCCTAAGAGTAAAAATCTTTATATTAAAAATATATAAATTTTTATATTTTCAGTTTTACCAAATCTCCCAACTTTTCGGGTAACCATATTTTTTTCCTATTCTTCAGGATATTAGGGATATTTAAAAAAGTAGCAAAATTAGTAAAACTGATTGTTCTCAAGTGATGCGCTTTTTAAGGAATAAAAATTATAGGCAAGAGGCATATCATCTTAGTCCTCACAGTAACAACGCACCTGCGGTTCTGCATTTTTGTGACATAAAACCTAAGTGCATGAACCGTAGGTGTTATGGGCGACAGGTACCGCTTTTCATCAGGTGGGCTGTCTGTTCGTTTGTCACTGAATACCATAAAAAAAGAACAATATTTTATTTCATCTTGGTAACATTAAATTAATACCTACTATTATTACCTATTTTTATTATTATTACTATTACTGATTCACCATTTAGTAAATAAAAGCCTCAGCCCTGAGAATAACTAGCGAAAGAAAGCCACTAGGACTAAATTTTAAATAAGCCTACGACTGTCGATTGAGACTACTTTTTAGATTATATATCTTAAGAAATGTTGATTTTTATACGATTGATATTACATAGTTTAAAGTCCGCGCGGTTATTTAATACTAAAAGACAGTATAACCTTTAATATTTAATTCAACCTTTTTAACATTTCACTACTGGGCAGAAGGTCTGTGACCTCGATATGGATGGCTATTGTCCACCATGCTGACAAATTCGCGAACTTCACATATCAAACAAAACTCCGTATTAGCAAGTAGTACTCAGGTCAAAAAGATTTACACATGATAATCTCAGAAGTGCGAGACCGAACCAAACCGAACCTCTTGGCTTCTCCAGCGAGTTCGCTACCAATGAGCTCCTGCTTGATATATGTTACCGTACTTTATCACCAATGACATTAATTGGGTTAATTGGTCTATTGAATCTATTGACTTTCTAAACGATGGTCACTAAGTTCTTCTTAGTAAGTGTCAGTAATAATACAGATCACAGCTTATGCAGCTAAGTGCTAGCTAGTAATAGTACTTGATTTATATTATAAAGAGGTAAGTGAGTTTGTGACGTTGTAGGGGGTAATATCTGGATCTACTGAACCGGTTTAGATGAAATTTGTTAAGATAGTTTGAGATCCTGGATAGGATATAGGATACTTTTTATCCCGGAAATCATTCCTTAAAGGGGTGAAAATTAGGATGAAAGTGTTTATGGAGTACCAAGCTAGGGACGAACCCGAGCGAAACGAGGGGAGTCGCTAGTTTGCTATAAATAGGCAAAGACAAACTAGTTTAGCACCTTTTTCAACTTTGTCAATCATTCTTCCTTTTTTTTTTGTTTAGTAGCTATTAACGAGCTTTAGTGTCATCAATAGCTTTTTGAAATATATATTTTTTAATGTATGTTCACCGATTACTTGAAGACGCCTGAACCGATTTGTTTTTTTTTTATTTTGAAGGGTGTACTTCCCAGGTGGTCCCATTTAAATTTTTAAGATATTAATATCTAATAGGTAAACATGGTTAGGTATGAACTCTAATTAATTATAGTAAAAATATTATACATCGTTGTTTTATTTTGAATAACAAAAATTATACACTAAAATGAAACTTAGGTTACATTTATCTTTTTTTTCAAATTATTGTTTTTTTGGGTATATACCATCTGTAATAATTATCATTATAATTTTGACACTAAAAACTTTAATCTCTCCCGTGACCATTTTTTTTATTAGCTGTAAAGTATTGAAAAATTCGGGGAAAACAATTAAAAACATCGGGATAAATCCGAATAATATAATCAATTAAATCAAAAAAAAATGCTTCTTAATGACATTTAAGTTTGACAGTTGAGTATGACTTACTTCATAAGTAAAATGTCACTCAAGAAAAAAAATCTTATTTGATATTTCGTATTTAACAGATACTGTGTGCATAACATAAAAAGGTAGAATTTTCCTATAAATACACATTTCAAATAAACAAAAGCTAAAAATAACGATATATTTTTATAAAGCTCCATTATTCTCGTCATAAAGGGAATATTTAAAGCGTATACGCTAAAAAGGCCACCAGTCTACACTAATAGTTAGACGAGCTATTAAAATGAACCATTGTTACAAATCTAAAGTTACGTAGTTTGAAAAGAGAATATGTTGGAAATATTTAGTTACACAATGACGGCAGTGGTATATTTTAATAATAATTATCATGGCAGTATGTAAGTAGGACTATTATAAATAGATTTATATAAATCTTTAAAAAAATAAAAACAAAGCTATCCCACGGAAACTGTACATTTTTCCGGGATAAAAAGTAGCCTATGTGCTATTCCATACTATAATCTATCTCTGTTCTAAATTTCGTCAGTTCCGTTCAGCGGTTCTGGCGTGATTGAGTAACAAACATCTATCCAAACATCTAAAGTTTCACATTTATAATATTAGTAAGATTTTTTAGACAGTTATTTAATGATCTGAAGTAACAAATAATCTAATGTTAACAATAGAACATGCTAAAAGCTGAATATTATAAATATAAAAGGTATAAAACGCACCCGAGCGAAGCGATGATGTCGCTAATATGTATATAAAATGCGAAAATATTTGAAAAAAATTATGTTTGGTTTGATCGATTCAAATGCTGAAACAATTTTGATGAAATTTAAAGTAAGCGGGCATAGATAAGATGCCAATCTTGAATTATTTACGAATAGAACACAAAAAATGTAATGACAAATGTCAGCGTTATGTCAGATTTTTTTTATTTTCATCTTCCTATCTTCTCCATTCTTCGTGACATTTGCGAAGTAATGTGTGCTCAACTGGCACGCTTTGAAGCCATTAACAAGTAAATTGAATTGATTGAAGAATGCTTATCTAAGCCTCACTCGATAACTCGAACAAAAATTAAGAAATAAATTAATTTGAAAAATGTATAAGTATAATTTAAAAAAGAACATGTAAGATAATAAATAACAATATAGGTATTAAACTTAAAAAAAAAACGAAAAATTTTGCAAATATGACAAAAAGTAAACACCGCAATGCATCTTGGCTGCGTCTTCTAAAGTACATATCTAAGCATATAACATTCTCGTACATATTACATGTGGGATATTCCCAACACTGTGCCAAGTACTGGCGTAGTATTTATTCGCAGTAAATTCGAGTCCTTTTAACTTACTATTTAGTATTAAAGCGGTGTTCGGAACTAATACCTAAGTAGCCTTGCTCTTGGATAGATAGACCATTTGCGATGTTGCTAAATTATTTTTTTAAGAAATCTACTTCTCTGTCTGTCCGTCTGTTTGTTCCAGCTAATCTCCGAAACGGCTTGGCCGATTTTGACGGGACTTTCACTGGCAGGTAGTTGATGTTATAAGCAGTAACTTAGGCTACATTTACTTCAGTAAAAGAATAAGGGTTCGGCTCAAAAAAAAAATGTACCTAGGGACTAACCCGAACGAAGCGAGGATGAGTCGCTATTTATAAAATATAATATCTATACAACATACAAAATGCTTATAAAATACTCCCGGTACTAGAGTAAACGCTATCGACATAATATGGAACAGCTGTTAAAC